TGACTGTAAGTTTAAGTGTGTGTCACTTTAAAACTGCAAAGCATGTAATTTTGGGTGCGGTGTGAAACCACCATAAGAGGGAGCAAGAGAACCTGATGATTCCCTGACAATTACTGGATTGCATGGATTGATGGTTTGTTAACTGCGTGTTTCCCCTACTGCTGAGTTGCTGAAGGAAGAGAGGAGTTTTTGACTTCTTCATATCTCTACTACAAGGAGATATATTACTGGACTGATATTTGTAAGTTTACTGACCTCTCTTTTTCGACACTGGAATTTGCAACTGAATAATCCCTGAACGGACTGAACTAGTGAATGATATATGGACTGTTTGACTATGCTATAACTCTTACTGGAATAAACTATTTAATTAGCACTGTGTATCTGTTTTACTGAGTGTAAGCTACAAAAACGTTTATCTCACATATTTTGCCTGCCTGCCTGACTGCCGTGCAGATTCTGCTAGGGTGTATCCCTAACAATAAAAATTATATTTAAAAAAAAAAAAAAACTCCTTAAACTTCGTGGAAGATCAGCCAATTTGAAAATGAACATGAACATAAGGATTCATTTTACATGTTTTCTAACTTATCCATTTCCCCCTCTCCATGGCCTCAAGTTATATTATACATCTTGAGAAATGGAAAATGATCTGATTTATTCTGCCAGTGATTTTTGTATAGCCAATGTCAGGCCTGCCTTCATTCAAATCCCAAGAAAGAAATCCTTCAACTCCATTAAGATAGAGAAGAGGTACTTTTATTGAGTTTGAAGTAGTAGCAGTGAAAACAAGGCAATATATGATTCAAAATGCATGAAAGTTACAGATTGAAAGTTTTCCTAAGTCTCTTACCCCAGGGTCCAATGCTAAGGGTCCAATCAATGTCCAGTATGATGTTATATGAATCTTCAGGTATTTTGTCCATCTGGAGTCCTAGAACTCAGCAGTGTAATAATTTTTTAGAGTAAATCTCCCTTTTAGTACACATGGGACTTCACCTCACTTCCCCAATCGAAATGCCATGTCAGAATTCCAACTAACAAACTCCAAACCAATAAACTCCGAGACAAGCATTTTCTCAAAATCCCATTTTATTAGAGTTGTCATATTGGCACATCTGGGAAAACCTGAATCTGAGAGTTCTGGGTTTTCTCTTCTCAATAGAAATTCAAAGATCCGTCCCAGGCACCCATCAATCCATCACATGACCCAATCAAACATTATCCCAACTGGAGACATTCCTCCAGACACTCCTCTCCAGGTACAGGGCATCAGGTCCTTGACTTTCTGAGAAAGAATGTTGTTGAGTCTAATTTTCCACCTCTCTATGAAATCCCCCCTCCCAAAATCCCAGGCACTAAATGTGGCAGCCTCAAAGCTACCACATTTAGTGCCTGGGAAATTATGGCTTCCAAGGCTGTTAGGCTTCCCCCCTTCAAGAGAAAATCATGTCCTGGGGAAAAGAAAAAAATCAGGGGGTTAAACTTACAATCAACTAAATTAACCACCTCCCCCACCCCCAGGAGAACCCTTTGGCTTGTCTGGAAATGTAGCGTGTAATTGTCTTACTAATTTATCTGCTTTAACATTCCATCTTTTTACCCAGGTAGCTTCAGGCAAAGGGTACCCCTTCCAATGTATTAAATATTGTAATCTGCCTCTATACAATCTAGAATTTTTTTTCACCTCATAATGGGCTTCCCCTTGTACTACAACTTGTTTGGGGGGAGCAGCTGTCTAAGGTCTCAATCTTGAACTAACAGCTGGTTTTAACAAACCACTGTGGAAGATAGGGTGTACTTTCCTTAGTATTTGAGGGAGGCTAAGTTGGACAGTTACCGGATTTATCACTTTCACTATGGGGAAAGATCCTAGAAATTTTGGTCCTAATTTTTTACCAGGTAACCTTAACTTAAGATATTTGGTTGACAAGTAAACTCAATCTCCCACTCGGAAGGGAGGTTGGGGTGACCTATGTTTATCAGCCTCTTTTTATATGTCTCCACTGCTTCAGCAAATGCTTTCTTTGTGCTTTTACAACCCTTTTTTATTGATTCCATCCATTCTGTTAAAGACATGGAGGAGGGTGGCTCTATGGGCAATTCTGGCATGGGAACAAATTCCATGCCACTTGTGATCTGAAAAGGAGTCAATCGTGTGCTGCAATGCATGACATTGTTATAAGCCACTTCTGCAAACGGCAATGTCTGCCCAGTTCTCTTGCTGATAATCCACATAACATCTGAGATATTGTTCCACCATAGCATTCAAATGTTCTACGGCTCTGTTAGTTGCCAGATGAAAAGCAGAGCTAGGTCATTTAGATGATCCAATAGATCTCAGGAATTCCCTCCAGAACTTTGTGGTGAATTGGATGCCTCTATCTGATAATTATTTGCCACGACAACCCATGAAGCCAGTATATTTGCTTCACGAACATCTTGGCTAGTTTTTTTAGCTGAGGGTAGTCCAAAGCAAGTGGTAAAATGAGCTTGCTTAGAGAATAAATCAATTACAGTCCAATTTACTAAATGACCTCCACTTTCTGGGAATTCAACTATCCATGGCAATTTCCTCCCAGAGTCCTAGGCTCCTCCAACAAATAGCTTGGCCACTTATTGGAGGAGCCCAGGTGGATTTCCTGGTTTCATTTTCATTGTGGCACAAATAGAACAACTTTTGACATAGTCCTTCACATCAGCTTTCATTCTTGGCCACCAAAATTGCTTCCTAGCTAGATGGAGGATTTTTAAAAATCCAAAGTGGCCATGTAGTTGAGAGTCATGACTTTGACACAGTACCAACAGCCTCAGGTTGCTGGGCACATAAATTTGGATCCTTTCCATGACAATACATCCCTTAAGGTTAGGTCCTCTCGGTTTTCTGTGAACCACGGGTCCATCAAAAGTGCTACTTTTAGGTCCATGGTCAGTTTGTCCTCAGGGGGGTTGGCTCAACATTTAGCTTGGGCCCTAGTATTGGCTTGGGCTGCAATTTATGTTTCTGAACAACTTCTTGGCGGCTGTCATATTGTGGTTTTATTGATAGCACGTCAGCCAATAATTTCTCCCCCCCCCCCGGAATGTATTTTAAGTTAAAATTAAAATGTTTAAACTATTGAGCCCAGCAAACTTGTTTAGGGGAAAGCTTCCAGGGTGTTTTCAGAGCTTCAAGGTTTTTGTGATCAGTCCACACCTCAAACAGCTCCTTAGCCCCTTCTAGGAAGCGCCTCCAGGAAAGGAGGGCCCATCGGACTGCAAAGGCTTCCTTTTCCCACACAGCCCACCTTTGCTCTATGTCTATTAGTTTAGATACATATGCACAGGGCAACAGCTGTTCTTGAGGGTTCTTTTGGAGAAGTACAGTGGCCACAGCCACATCACTGGCATCTGCTTGAACAACAAATCTTAATCCCCTCATTTAACACTCAGTAGCCCAGGTAGTCAAAGGAGGGCTTATGGAACTTACATTTTGACAGCTTCGCATAGAGTTTTGTGGCTAGTTTTTTCAGTACTTACCGCACTAGTTTGACATGTTCCTCTATCATCTTGCTGAATATAAGGCTGTCATCTAGATAAACTAGGACTCCATTATACAAATGATCATGCAGTACTTCATTGATTAATTGCATAAAGACTGTGGGGGCTCCCTGGAGCCCAAAAGGCATGACTCAGAATTGAAAACTTCTTAGCAGACAATTGAAAGCAGTTTTCCATTCATCCCCCTCTTGAATGTGCGCTCTGTAATAAGCTTCCTTAGGTCTAGCTTAGTAAATATTTTGCCCTTTGATAGATGATTCAATAAAACTTTCATGAGAGGAGTGGGTAGGTGTTTTGCACACACAGAGCATTTATTCCACAAAAATCAAGGCAACGTCTCATTCCCCCCACCTTTCTTTTCCTTAAATAGCAGTGGGGCAGCTACTTTAGAATTTGTGGTTTGATGAAGCCTGTGGCTAAGTTGGTGTCAATGTACCTTCTCAATTCACTCATTTCCATAGCTATCATGGAATACATTTGTGGCTTTAGTAACTTGGCTCCTGGCTTGATTTTTGCCAGTGAGGTGGGAAGATATTGCATACCTCCTACTAAAAATGCCAGCCAAGTCTCTGCATTCTTTAGGAACAGAGGAGTCTCCTGGAAATGGCTCTGTGGTGGCTGTTTCTAATGGTTGGAGGCTAATTGGTGGCTGGGCATCTATCAGGAGGGATAGATGGCAGTAGGCCAATGCCTATTATGATCCTTGTCAGAGTAGATTCATGAACTGAAATAGAGCATTGTAACAAGGTCAGCCAATGAATAGGCATAGCAACTAAATCAGCCAATGAGGAATGTTTTGGAAACTGAAACTAGATTTAGCCTAGGCTGGAAACTGAAACTAAAAGTAGCCTAGGTGTGGCTCTATGTTAAGCTCTGCAACTCTGCAGCTATGTTGAGCTCTGAGTCTGTCTATTGAAGATGAAACTAACTTGCTTGCTTGCTGAAGACTGGAGCTCTGCTGTGAACTTGCAAAATGTTTCTGAATGAACACTGCTTCTCTCCTCTGCTGTGTATAATGCTTGCCTGCTGAACTAAAGTGAAACTGATGTTGTTTCTGTGTGCTACTGAAGTTACTTGCTTGCTCCATGTTGGATAATTCTATAACTGGTTTGTAAAATCTACTTATTATATTTATAAAGATGTTAAATGAAGCACCAGCCATCTGTGTTTATTTTTCTGGCATTGAATTAAAGCTGCAAAACTCTGAATAGATAATGGGCCCAGAAGGCCAGAGAAAAGACTGAAGTGTAATTAAAGCTGAGAGACTGGGTGTTTTAAAAGAAGAAACAATGAAAGAGGCTTTGTAGGATGGCTGAAAAAATTAAAGAAAACTCTCTACCCTGTTTGGGTCAGAAGAACTATATTATTTGGACTGCAAAGCTGGAACGTCTCCAATTATCAAGAAAGTTATATAGAGCTCGTTTGCAGCCAGCAGTTTTGTTCATGTGCAAACTTTGTTTGTGGAATTAGAACGATGTGGGATGAGGATTCCTGAATCTCAGAAAGTGCTCCTAGTTTTGAACAGCCTAGATAAAAAGTGGGACATTGTGTCTGCAGTGTTTGAATGCAAACCAGAGCAGGAATTGAGTTTGGAAGCTCTGAAAGCATGTCTGATAGCCAACAAGCAGAAACGCCATTATAGAAAAAGCCTCAAGGAGGAAAAATTCCTGAGGAGGGGCCCCAAGAGGAGCAGTGGAAATTTCCACAGACAGGCTGTCTGCAGAGAGCAGCACAGAGATAAGAGCCTTGCAGTTACCAGAGACCAGAAGAGGATATCAGATTACAATCTAGCAACAGAAGAGGGGCTTCGTTTCTACTCACTTAAAGAAGGACTGCTTGCAAGACAGAAGAAATTTGTAAGGACAGGTTGATGGACAGATTGCTGTTGCAAAAGCCTGCAGTAGTAATGGAAGATATCAATGGCTTATCGACATTGATAGCCAAATGATTATTAATAATGCTAAATTGTTTTACAGGATGGATGCAGCTGCTGGAGACACAGTAGCCTTGGCAAATGGCAAGAAGGCTAAAGTTATTGGAAGAGGCAGTGTGCAAATTCCATATTTGGAAACAAGGTTTAATAATGTTTATGTATGCAAGAAATGGAACATAATTTGTTGAGTGCCTCTAGCTTAGACAAGCACATTTGTAAATGGGCAGTGTCTTATCAAGAAAAATGGGATTGTCTGTGCAAAGAGCATGAAGCATGATAATTTTTATATGTTACAGGGACAAAAAGTTCAATGTGCACAATTTGCAATGTTGCAAAACATGATTCATGTGTTTATCTTCTGCACAGAAAACTTGGTCATGCCAACTTTAAAGTTGTTCAAAAGATGGACCAGTATGCAGAGGGATTGCACAAGGCAGACAACAAGAGCTCTAGAACTAGTACATGCAGATTTGGTGGGCCCAATGCAAGCCAGTTTGGGAGGAGCTAAGTATGCACTGGTCATTGTAGATGACTATAGCAGGTTAGGGTTCTGCTAGTTACTAAAGAGTAAAACAGAGGTGCTACAGAAATTTAAGCAATGGGTAAGCTTTATAGAAAGAAGGTATAAACAACAGGTACGTCAGCTGCAAACTGACAGAGGTTCAGAATTCATGTCAATAAGTTTTCAACAGTGGTTGGCACAGTTAGGTATGAAACACAGACACACAAATCCTTACACTGCAGCCGAGAATGGTGTTGCTGAGAGATGGAATGGAGTCCTACAAGCCATAGAGGATTCTGGTCTAAGCAGGTGATATTGGGGTGAAGCCATATTGACTGCTAATTATTTAGTTAATAGGTTGTGGAGTTTCTCCATTAATGATACTCCATATGCAGTGCTATATAGGAGAAAACCATCTCTGGCACATTTAAGGGTGATTGGAAGCAGTGTGTGGGTGCATATTCCAAAATCAATTAGAAGGGGCAACCAAAGGCTAGGAAGCTCAGGTTTGTGGGCTATGAGCCAGGCTTAAAAAGTTATTGCTTTAGTGATGGGAGCAAAATAATAGTATTTTCAAGGTCTGCAAGCTTTGCAGAACAAAATTGGAACAGAATTGATGCAAATTTTTGGATTGATTCACTTAGTGATGGTGATCCACTTAGTGATGGTTACTCACTTAGTGTCAGTAACTTACTTAGTGATGGTGTCAACATTCAGGGAGGAGAAACTGAACAAGAGATGAAGCAAGAGATGGTTGACACACAAAAGCAGTCTGTGCCACACAGGACAGAGCGATGGAACAAGGGGATTCCACCTGACAGGTATTCTGCTAGTGAAATTAAAGTGTGTAATGTATGGTAGAGCCAAGGAACTACAAAGAATTATTAGCATTACCTAATATTGAACAAGTAAAGTGGAAAGAAGCCATGGACAAGGAAATGAAATCCATGGGAGAACATGAAGTTTTCACATTTATGACTTTGCCACAGGGTAGCAAAGCTGTAGGATGCAAGTGGGTATACAAAAAAAAGGAACTATACAATAATGAAATACAATATAAAGCAAGGTTAGTGGCACAGGGGTTTTCACAGATGAAAAATGTCCACTATGATGAGGTATTTGCGCCAACTGTAAAGAGTGAGAGCATCAGGCTGGCACTAGCATATGGCCGTAAAATTTGGCATTTTGACATATCCATTGCATTTGTCAATGCAGAATTAGAGGGCGAAATGTACATGGTTCAAGCACCATGGTATGATAGTAAATTTCCTAGCACAGTATATAAATTGAACAAGGCCATTTATGGGCTGAAGCAGTCAGCCAGGAATTGGAATATCTGTTTAGATACTGCATTGAAGGGTCTTGGGTTCAGGAGTTGCAAGGCTGATGGTTACATATACACTGGAAAGTTAAAAGGTGAGGATAAACAATTGTGTTGGATAAGTATAAAAATGAATTCTCCCATGAGCTGTTCAAAGCATCCCGAAGTGGGAGGTGCTTCAGTCTCTTCTGGAAAGGCTGGACTTAAAACTCGGGGACGTTCCTCCTCCTCCACGGGACACCTCCTCAGCATCCCCCAGTTTTAGCTCAGCCTTCGTGGTAAGAGGTTGTGCACTCCCTGACTGGAACGGTTTTCTGATTCAGGGTTGCTCTTGTGTTATTTCGGCTTGTAAAAATCTTCCCCATTTAATTTGGTTTTTTCAGGCTTGTGCCTCTATTAGGTTGCCTCGATCAGTTTAAAAACAGTTTCTTTGTAACTAATGGAGCCTGCCACTGCACAGGCAGCCTGAGGCGGCCACCTCATGCAATTACCTTATCTAACTTTCCGATTGTCTTTTCTGTGATCGTAGCGGGGGCGCTCGCAGCTGTGGCTCACTTCACCTTGCTGTTTAGTCTGACAGGAGCATTTAACTCGCAAGTTAAAGCCTCAGCAGCAGTAGCTCATTAGACTTCTCAGACATTAGCAGTGGAGATTCTGGCTTCCCGCCTTTTTCAACGACTGGCTCAAGTTCGCACCTAAATATCACAGGCGCCATTCCCCGCTAGTTTCCCTTTTTGGGGACCGGGGCAGTAACTTCCCATTTTGTTCTCTCTGGGTTTAGCTTTCCCTTGTCTGGCTGACGTTGGATAAGCAGGCTAGTCATTAAACAGGAATTTCCTTGCAATTGCCTTTGGATCATTTCTTTGGAGTAAAGACGCAAGTGCCTTTTTAAACAGCGGGACGTTTCGTTTTGACAGGAAAGAATCCACCTCAGATCCTGTATAGCTCGTTTCCCTTGTTGGGGACCAGGGATCCAGAAAGTTCTCGCTTGAAGCGCTTGGGGGTTTTCCTTGGTGGGGACCCTTAGATACTGTTTACCATATGCATAGTTTTACATATAGATATAGGCACATGTATATGTATACGGGCGTGTATATATAGATATATAGACTTACTCTCCTGGAGGAGCGTTCTACTTTCAACCACAGGGGAAGGCATCACACCAAAGTACAAATACTACTAATACTACTAATAATAATAATTTTAAAAAATTAATTAAAAATTAAAGTCAGAGGCAAGAGAATCAGTCATCCACAATGGAAGGTGACAACGCCTTAAAAAAAATGCTCCAAGACAAATAAGTCCCGAGATAAACCAGTGGGCCCCAAAAAGGCCTCTAAGGCGGCGGATAAGGATACCCATAGACGGCACCTAGCTTTGGAAAGGCAATTGCAGAAACGAGCCAGGGAGGCAGACAAGATGGCTATGACACACCAATCCGATCAGGGCCCAAGTCCATTGTTGGGGCCCTAGGACTTATCCACCCAGCCCAGGCAGGCTATTTCTGGACAACCTCCCATAAGCACATCTCCAATGAGCACTGCCCGGCTAATCCCAGAGGCAACATTCACTCCCACGGTCGCTGGCCTCAGACAGGAGGAGGGATTACCTGAGACTATCCCCATCGAAATAAGGCAATGGATGGAGATGGCGATTCAAAGGGGCATTGTGGCTGGAGTTCAGCAATCCATCAGGACCAGACACTTCTCGGCCACTTCGGATGCGCAATCCCTGTCCGCTCGATCCTTTGCGCATATGGGACAACATCAAACTCAGGTATTCCCCAATATTTCTAACATACCAGCCCAGGGCCTTCGGGAGGAGGTAGAATTTCAGGATCAGGGTGTTCCCATGGAGGTGGGGGGCGATCCATCAGATGGACTTGGGGTTGTCAGAGGCTGACCCACTAGAACGGGGAATGTCGGACGACGAAGGCCTCATTCCGGACCAACTTACTTTTTCTGGCCTTTTTCATCCGCACCTCTTTAAATCCTTACTGTTCAAGGAAAGAACACCACTAAACTAGGCACATCAAACCCTCATCCATTGTCAACAGGGTCTCAGGATTAATCCGAGGATCTAATATTCTCACAACCAGTTAATGAGGCAGAAACTATTCCTGTCCCTCGTATGTTTGCTGAATTAGTACAAAATCAATGGGCATCAACAGCATCATACCCAGCCCCAACAGGGTATGATAAACAATATTATAATTTGGCACCAAAGTTTTCAAATTTTCTCAAAACGCCGGAGGTGAGTGAGCCCAATGTGGCACTGGCCTCTTCTTCAACCTTTCCCAACGAGGCCAAGGAAACCCTGAGACCGGAAGAAAAGAGAGCACAGTTGGCACTCCGTAGGGCGCACGTTTCTGATGCCTGGGCCATTAGGGCAGCTACAGCGGCATCCTTTTTCTTTTTTTACACGGTCCTCTCTACGATGGCTCTTCCACTTGAGGGATATATTGCCAGCGTCAAATGTCAGAGCCCACCAGGACAAAGCTAAAATTGTTGCAGCAGCAGAATTCTCCGCCAATGTCACATTTAATGCAGTCAAATTCTTGTCTAGGGCCATAGCATCTCACGTATCAGCACGGAGACTGCTATGACTCAGACATTGGCAGGCAGATACCAAGCATAAATGCAAGTTGGCATCAGTCCCAATATCAGGGGATAAATTATTTGGCAGTGTCTTGGAGCCCTTCCTTATAGAGAATAGAAACAAGAAAAAAGTGCTTCCCCCTCTCTTTCAGAGGTCTGAATACAGAACGCCCTAGTCATTTCAAAGGGGTTCCTTATGGCCCTACTATCAAGGTCCATACATTCCCAGATCTCAGAGAAGATCT